CCCTATTACTTTGTCTTTAGTCCCTGTTCATTTATCTTTAGTCACCCCTTTTTTTGGTCCCCCTTTTCTTTAGTCCCTTTTTTTTTCTTTAGTCCCTGTTCATGGCGCCATTCTGTGGGGCGTTTACCCAACCACCCCCACAGTTCCCCAGAGTTTTCTTGAGTGCGAGCAGCAGGAAATATTAGAAGGATTTATTGCGGAGAATATCGCGGAGATAAACAGATAGAAAATAAAGGATAGCCTCGAGAGGGCCTGGAACCTATTCCAACCGGCCCCAACTGTCTCTGCCCCAGGGTTTTTATAGAGACGCCAAGGGGTGGAGCAAAAGACCTCCTCCCCCAGCACAGCCAAGTGCAGACCATCTCAGACACCTGCACTCAGGCCCGTGGTCCTAATCATCCTCTATGTGGACCTGCTGGGTAAAGCCATGAGGAACCCAAGAACGGGCTCCCACAATTGGTCAGTAGCCAGGCAGAAGTATAGGCAGGATAAGCAGACAAGGAGAATTCTGGGAAGAGGAAGGCTGAGTCAGGAGATGCCAGCCCACCATCCAGGAAGCAGCATGTAATGGCACACAGGTAAAGTCATGGAACACGTGGCAACATAAAGATTAACAGAAATGAGTTGAGTTTAAATGTAAGAGCTAGTCAGTGGTAGGCCTGAGCTGATGACTGGGCAGTTTTAATTAATATAAGCTTCTGAGTGATTATTTTATAAGTGGCTGCAGGGTCCATGGGACTGGGCAGGACCAGAGAAAACTTCAGCTACATAGTGGCTCTACATGAGCAAGCTACCTTTTCTAAGAGAGGGAGGTCCTGACATCTTATTCTTTTATCATCTTTCCACTCCATACTTTGCTCATCAATATGTCTTTGTGTAGGGCAGAGGTATGTCACTTAATTGTCTGAGTGTACAGTGGGAAGAGGCTTGTAATCTGAACTGGGGCCAACTCCTCTAGCCCACCAAATCTTGTTGACCTTTTTAAACAACATTTACTTTGTTTTGATTATCTTGTTCCTGAGTAAGTACAGAGATAGATGTTTCAAGAATGTTTCATAGCCTCATGAGGAGACCTCTGGCTTCTTTATGTATCACAACCTCCAAGGCATAAGGAAGACCTTCAAGTAGATAAGGATATCTCCCTAAAAGCAGGGGAAAGTATATTCAGGACTGTCCTGGGGAAGCTTGGAAGCAGCATTCTTGGGAGAAGACATAAATGATTCATAAGAAATTTTCCATCAATCCAATATTCTCAAATTGTATAAATATTAAATGTCTCTCAAATATGCAACAGGTAAAGATGAAAACAGAGAGGGAGAACAAGGAATAGGAGACCATGGTAAATGAAGACCACATGAGAATAGGAAGAAGCAAAGTGCTAGAGAGGCCCACAGAAATCCACAAAGATACCCCCACAACAGACTGCTGGCAATGGTCGAGAGACAGCCCGAACTGACCTACTCTGGTGATGGGATGGCCAAACACCCTAATTGTCATGCTAGAAACCCCATCCAATGACTGAGGGAACTGGATGCAGAGATCCACGGCTAGGCCTCAAGTGGAGCTCCAGGAGTCCAATTAGCAAGAAAGAGGAGGGTTTATATGAGCAAGAATTGTTGAGATCAAGGTTGGATAAAGCACAGGGACAAATAGCCAAACAAATGGAAACACATAAACTATGAACCAATGGCTGAGGGGTCCCCAACTGGATCAGGCCCTCTGAATGGGTGAGATAGTCAATTGGCTTGATCTGTTTGGGAGGCATCCAGGCAGTGGGACCGGGTCCTGTGCTCATTGCATGAGTTGGCTGTTTGAAACCTGGGACCTATGCAGGATTGCTTGGCCCGGCCTGGGAGGAGGGGACTGGACCTGCCTGGACTGAGTCTACCAGTCTCAGTCCTCGGGGGAGGCTTTGCCCTAGAGGAGGTGGGAATAGGGGGTAGGCTGGGGGGAAGAGGAGGGGGGTGGGAGGGGGGAGAACAAAGGAATCTATGGCTGATATGAAGAACTGAATTGTATTGTAAAATAAAATTAAATTAAATTAAAAAAAAAGAAAAGAAAACCAAAGGTGGCATGGCAGCCATCATGTGGCTCAGCTTTGCTGGATCTTTGTCAAGCAGCTGTGCTGGCTTTATGACTTCTGCCATTCCATTCAGATATGGCTGTGCCAGAGCAAGTTTCCTGTTCACCTCAATCCTCTGACACCACTTGCTCTTCACTTTTGTGTGAAAAAATAATCCAGTGTTTGTATGAGAGAGGCCCCCAAATTGTCAATTAGTTGAGTTTGTGGAGAGCTGTAGTCTAGTGTGGCAGTGGGGACGATATAGGAGAATGGAGGCAGCACTGGCTGTGCTGAGCCTGGGTTGTGTATCCCTTGGCAAGGAACAGAACTCGGTGGCTGTCAGCAGGGGCGCAGAGCTCAGACTCACAAGTAGAATATAAGGCAGGAGTTTAAGCCTTAAGGATTGCCGGTGAGCACACAGATGCAACCCTATATATAGAATGCCAGGCACAGCTCAGTAATGGGAAAATCCCTAAAATTAGGTGGGATACATCCAGTGACATCACTGAAGAGAAAGCAGTAGTCACAGAAAAGGGAAGGGATGCAGTTATGCCTTATGGCATTTTATCACTGCTGCAAGACTGGGAGAAGCAAGGTTTCTTGTCTTTTATATATTCGAATTTTGTCCCAGCCCAATTAATGGCAAGGCTTTTCTCCTTTATCCTGAACTGATTTTCATTCTTTCTGTCATACAGAGGTTTTTTACTCTTTTATCTTATGCTTCCCACACACAGATATACTTTCTGCCCAAACACCAAAAAAGCAACTAGAGCCCATTACTATTATTGTGTTAAATTTAGAACTTGCCATCATCCGTGTTCCACTAAAGGCTTGGAAAAACTAATCTGTAGTTAGACAAATGTATGATATTTATCATTTTATATTAAATTATGTATATGTTTGTCTATTTAAATATGTGCATGAGTGCAGTTGCTGGTGAATGCCAGAGGCCATCCCCTTGGGACTGGAGTTACAGACAGTTGTGAGCAGACACAGGTGTTAGAAGGTTAAATCAATCCTATGAAATAACAGGAAGTGCTTTTAACCACTGAGCCATCTTTCCAGCCCCAAATGTCTGTTTTTTATGTTCCTTCTATAGCAGTGTAGTGCTGGGTCATCTGCCAGGACAGTGCACTGTACCAAAGATAATTACTAGGGGAATGAAGGTTTGAAAAATAAATGTACAGTCGACCTCTGATTCAAGAGCCAAATTTATTCAGATTAAATTAAAAGCAGATCATACTCCTACTATGAATAGTGGACACTGATCTCACGAACTGGTCACAGACAGTTTTGTGAATTCCACAGCATTTTATAGGTCTGTTGTTCTTTGAGCAGATATTATGTCAGACTTTCTCTACTTTTTTGGCTATTTTTTTTTATTAACTGTCTCTCTCTCTCCTCTCCTTTCCTTCCCTCCCTCTAGGACAAAATATTATATATTATATAATACAATTCAATAATAGGTCATCCCACTTTTAAAATAAGTACATACTTGAGTGTGGTGGAGTGCAACTGTAGTCTCAGCTATTTAGGAGCCTGAGGTAGGGGGGTCAATTAAGTCCCGAGTTCAAATCAGTCTATGCCACATAATGACACTACCGATCTCAATAAACATGAGCAAAATATTTTTAAAAATATATCAACTAAGATAATGTATATATTTTACATACAAATGTGCTCAATAGTATTGCTTATTAGAGAAGTATACATCAAAACCACAAATGAGATAACAGTACACCCCACTAAAATGAAGAATAACATTTACACATTTTGGGAAAGGATACAACATGACTGTGATACATATATGCTGCTGGCTAGAAATGTAAAATGGTACAACCACTTTGGAAAATAGTTTGGCAACTTCTGAAGTAGGTAGGTATGTACTTACAATGTAACCAATCCATTCATTCCTAAGCACTTATCAAAGAAAAATGAAAACTATTCACCCAAAGACATGTATATAAATGTTCCTAGCAATTTTATTTGTAGTCAAAGACTAGAAATATACATTTCTGTCAATACATGAATGGACAAATTTTGGCATATCAATATAATAAAATGGGCATTGTTGATGCGTGCCTTTAATCCCAGCACTTGGGAGGCAGAGGCAGATGGATTTCTGTGAGTTCAAGGCCAGCCTAGTCTATAAAGCAAGTTCCAGGACAGCCAGGACTTTTACTCAGAGAAACCCTGTCACAAAAAGCAAAACAAACAAAAGAACCCACAAATATAATAAAATACTATTGAGTAATAAAAGGGCTGAATATACATACACATATATAACAATATAAACAATTATGATGAAAGAAGTCAAACAAGAGTGCCTATGATATAATTCAATTCACATAAAATTGTAGAAGATGCAAACTAATCTATTATGACAAGAAAAATCATAGTTGCTTATGGATGAAAATTGGTGTGGAGGAAGGCTAGATGACAAAGAGACATTAAATAAAAATATAGTCTTTTATTTCAGTGATGGTTTGAGAAGTACATCCTTATGTCAAGTTTATTATTTATATTCAACACTTTAAATGTTACATTTACTCTGTGTTCATTATACTGCAATGAATCTATAAAACATATTTTTGAGAGAAAATGGAAAAAATATGAAAGTAAACTGGTACATCATATTAAGTTGATAATGATGTTCCACTCTTATGGGAGAATTTCCTTTATTATCAGGAGATGGATACTTAATTACTTAAGAGTATAATTCTATAGTGTCTATATCTAAGTATCAGTATTTTAGGAATAAATAACATGTACATTGTTAAATCTAGATCAACATTATATGGATGTGTATTATGCTATCCTTTCTATTGTTCTACATGATGGAAATTCTATATAATTAAAATGTGGAGGAAATACTAGTGGAAGTATTAAGGCAATTCCACATAGTTAAAAAGGAGGTTTATTTTGTGGGGTAACTTACAAGTAAAGGGATAGGTTACAGGGTCCTAGAGAGGTGAAATGCAGTCCAGCGGTGTTCTCTGGAGAATTCTGCTCGGTCTACATCCAGCATCCAGGATCCAGGAACCAAGAGAGCCAGCACATTCAGATCTCGGGTCTTAAGGGCTCCTGTCTTGGCCCCACCTCGCAGGCATGACAGTTACCTCAATGGGGATAGTACTTCCAGGTCAAAGCTGGAACAGCTACCCACTACAAGGAAATACTGTTATATTGTTTTATTGCATATCTTCCTCTTCAGATAAAGAAAGGCATTATCTTTTATACCCTAGAATGTAACCAAATACCTGGGATGTAAATATTATAATTCTGCTGTTAATGTATAAGCATGAAGAAATATGACATTCATGTAGAATTTTTCACTAACAGACGGCTAGATTCGATCACACACACACAAAAGAAACTCGAAGTAATGATGTAAATGCAGGATAGAAAATAAATATAGAAGATAACAATGATATCAAACAGATACATATTTGTACCACTAAAGAGAAGAAAGATTTTTTAAATGTTAAGCAAAATAAAACTTTCCCAATGTGAATGCTCGAAATAGCTCACTGGAAAAAAAAAAACAACAGGGAAAATATACAAGATGTATGTGTATTTTCATGACCAAGGCATATACTAACATATATCTTAACTTTGAGACTGAAAGAAGAATATGACAGAAGGTACATTATGTACAAGGAAAAGAAAGAACAAATTTATCTAAAATTTTTTATGACACCACTCAAATTTAGAAATTCATCATGTTTTCAGAAAATCATTAATTACTAAGAATTATTGGATAAAGGATTTTAAAATATTAACTGGGACAAACTCAATTTGTAGAAGTAGCTGGGGAAGGAAAAGCAAGGAAGTTTGAGTTGGAAGGGTAGTTATTGCAATGGGTGGGTAGTGCTTTAAGAAAATTTAAGAAGCCAGTTGCTTAAGTAGAGCTGTGATGGGTTTAGTACTGAAGTCTACGAGAAGCTGTTCCCTTTGAGGACCACCAGCATCTAAGCATAGTGGTGAGCCACAGTTGGTCAGTAGACCTGGGGGATGGAAAGAAAGATGTTATAGAGAGGAAGAAGGTGAGGAAAAAAATTGAATCTGCTAGGTACCTGTTCATCTGTCCTTCATCTCAAGGACTTTTAGAGGCAAGGTTACTCCTTCCCTTGGACCTCTCTATCTCTTGTCACTTCTACTTTTGGCCAACTCTCATTTCCCAGTTTAATTCAGATTTCCACAGAGCAATCCAGTCCCATGACCTCACATTTTCTATTTAGAGAGGTTGTTTTGTTTGATAAAGTAATGTTACTGGAATATAGTCATTCCTTCAGGTTTCCTCAATTGCTTTCCTTAAATTCATTTTCAAAATAGCATTCATCCAAGTTAACAATGTCCTCACATTATGCCCATATAAACTGACCTCCGGTTTAAACATCCTCCCTTGAAATGTTCCTTGAAAATAACTCTTGTGAGCTCAATTCTCACCTGGTTTTTTAAATCATCTCTATATACAAATTTTATCCAACCAACTTCAAATGTTTGTATACAAGCTAGCTTGCTTTGCCTGTTACTCCACATATGTTCTTTATATGATGATATGAGACTTAAATACAACCAATAAAATCTCCAATCCAGGGAGGCAATGGAGGGTAGGGGATGGGGGTGAGAACCTAAGGGAATGGGATGGTTGAGCTGGAACAGGGATAGAGTGAGAGAGCAATGAAAGAGATATCTTGATAGAGAGAAACATCACAGGGATAGGGAGAAACCTGGTGCTAGAGAAGTTCCCAGGAATCCACAAGGATGACCCCACCTTAGACTACTAGCAACAGTAGAGAGTGTGCTTGAACTGGTTTACCCTGATAATCAGATCGGTGAATACCCTGTCATCATAGCACCTTCATCCAGTAACTGATGGAAACAGATGCAGAGATCCACAACCAAGCACCAGGCCGAGCTCCAGAAGTCCAGTCAGAGAGGGAAGAGGAATTCTATGAGCAAGGAGCATCAAGATCATGATGGGGAAACTTACAGATACAACCAAACCAAGCTAGTGGAAACTCATGAACTTTAAACCAACAGCTGTGGGGGCTGCATGGGACTGGACTAGGCCCTTTGCATAAGCAAGACAGTTGTGTAGCTTGGTCTGTTTAAGGGGCCCCTGGCAATGGGAATAGGATCTATCCCTGGTGCAGGAACTGGCATTTTGGAGCCCATTACCTATGGTGGGACACCTTGCACAGCCTTGATGCAGGGGGAGGGGCTTGGACCTGCCTCAACTGAATGTACTAGGCTTTGCTGACTCCCCATGGGAGGTCTTACCTTTTCGGAGAGGGGCTGGGGGTGGGTTTGGAGGAAAGGCTGGGGGGAGCGGGAGGAGGGATGAGAAGGTGATCTGTGGTTTGTATGTAAAATGAATAAAAAAATTCTTAATTAAAAAAAGAAAACATCCTTGTTTCATGTCTAGTATCCTGCTATGAGTGAGTACATACCATGTTTGTCTTTCTGAGTCTGGGTTACCTCACTCAGGATGATTTTTTCTAGATCCATCCATTTGTCTGCAAACCTCATGATGCCATTGTTTTTCTCTGCTGAGTAGTATTCCATTGTGTATATGTACCACATTTTGTTTATCCATTCTTCAGTTGAAGGGCATCTGGGTTGTTTCCATGTTCTGGCTATTACAAACAATGCTGATATGAACATAGCTGAACAAGTGCTCTTATGGTGTGGTTGAGCATTTCTTGGGTATATGCCCAAGAGTGGTATAGCTGGATCTTGGGGGAGATTGATTCCCAATTTTCTAAGAAAGCGCCATATTGATTTCCAAAGTGGTTGTACAAGCTTGCATTCCCACCAGCAGTGGAGGAGAGTTCCCCTAGCTCCACATCCTCTCCAGCATAAGCAGGATACTAGACATGAAACAAGGATGACTTGTCTGCTACTCACATCACCAGGGAGGCTACCTGGAAAACAGGACCCCAAGAAAGACACAGGGATCGCCCAATGACAGAGAAATGGAATGAGATCTACATGAACAGCCTGGACATGAGTGGGGGTAATGAAAGGCGAGGGTTGAGGGAAAGAGAGCTTGGGGGAGCGGGAGATCCCAGCTGGATCAACAACAGAGAGGGAGAACAAGGAATAGGAGACCATGGTAAATGAAGACCACATGAGAATAGGAAGAAGCAAAGTGCTAGAGAGGCCCACAGAAATCCACAAAGATACCCACACAACAGACTGCTGGCAATGGTCGAGAGACAGCCCGAACTGACCTACTCTGGTGATGGGATGGCCAAACACCCTAATTGTTGTGCTAGAAACCTCATCCAACTACTGAGGGATCTGGATGCAGAGATCCATGACTAGGCCCCGGGTGGATCTCTGGGAGTCCAATTAGTGAGAATGAGGAGGGTTTATATGAGCTAGAATTGTTGAGACCAAGGTTGGATAAAGCACAGGGACAAATAGCCAAATGAATGGAAACACATGAACTATGAACCAATGGCTGAGGGGTCCCCACTGGATCAGGCCCTCCGAATGGGTGAGACAGTTGATTGGCTTGATCTGTTTGGGAGGCATCCAGGCAGTGGGACCAGATCTTGTGCTCATTGCATGAGTTGGCTGTTTGAAACCTGGGGCCTATGCAGGATTGTTTGGCTCGGCCTGGGAGGAGGGGACTAGACCTACCTGGACTGAGTCTACCAGGTTGACCTCAGTCTGTGGGGAAGGCTTTGCCCTGGAGGAGATGGGAATGGGGGGGGGGGGTTGGGGGGAAGGTGAGGGGGGAGAACAAGGGAATCCGTGGCTGATATGTAGAACTGAATTGCATTGCAAAATAAATTTAAAAAAAAAAGAAAGAAAGAAAGAAAGAAAGAAAAAAAAAAGAAAACAAAAAATCTCAAATCCAGCTTCTGTGGCCCAGGTGCATGGTCGCACACACTCAGGCAGGCTCAGTAAGCAGGATATATCTAGTATTCATTAAGGTTTTTTTTTTTTTTTTTTTTTTTTTTTTTGGTTTTTCGAGACAGGGTTTCTCTGTGTAGCTTTGCGCCTTTCCTGGAGCTCGCTTTGGAGACCAGGCTGGCCTCGAACTCACAGAGATCCGCCTGGCTCTGCCTCCCGAGTGCTGGGATTAAAGGCGTGCGCCACCACCGCCCGGCTCATTAAGGTTTTTTTGGAGAAGGAGGAAGAAGAGGAAAAGGAGGAAGAGGAGGAGGAGGGGAAAGAGATAGTGGGATTGGAAATCCTAACCTCAGTACATCAAATATTGACCTTATTTGGAAAGTCTTTACAAATGTAATATAGTTTAAATGAAGTTAGTAGAGTGGGCACTAACACCATATAACAGGTAACCTTACAAAGGAGGAAATTTAGACACAAAGAAACACAGAATATGGCCATGGAGTGATATGCCTACAATTTTAACACCTGAGGCTACCAGATGCTAAAAGTGAGACAAGGGCTGAAGTGGTGGCACATACCTTTAATCCCAGCACTAGGGAGGAAAGACAAGCAGATCTCTTTGAGTCCAGCATAGTGAGTTCTAGGCCAGCCAGGGCTACATGGTGAGAACCTGTCTCAAAGGGATGGGGGCAGTGACAGGCATGGAGAAGTTAGTTTTATAATGCCTTTAGGAAGAGTGTGAACTTTATGGTGACTTGATTTTGACTTATTCTACAAAGATAATAAATTCTAGTGAGATAAAATACTTCTGTTGTTTTAGGCCACCAAAATTATGGCACTTTATTAAAGAAGTCCCAGGAAGTAAGCATACTTCTGTTTCCCAGTCAAAGCAGATGATTGTAAACAACACTACTTTTCTGTGATGGAGGGTGGAGTGAGGGTGGTGGCAGGGTCTCATATAGCTTAAGCTGACCTCAAACTCCCTAAGGATGACTATGAACATCCTGCTTCCTCTCCAGTGTTGGAATTACAGACTTGTATCACCATACCTGGTTTTTATATGGGGCTAAGGAGGACAGAAACCAGGGTTTCCTGAATGCTAGGCAAGTAGTATGTCAACTGAGCTACATCTCCAGCTATGAATCTACTACTTTCAAAAACCAAAACAGCAAATAACTAGCTACATGCATAGTAACACACAAATGTCTACACACAATACTGAATATCAAAGTGCTCATCGTTGTTGATTACTCCTCAATTTGTGAGAGATGAATAACTGAAGAGGAAATTCAGTAGTGGAGTAACAGGTAGCTTTTTCTTTCTGGGAATAAGCTACCCCAAACTTGGTGCCTTAAAATAATAAACTAAACATTTTAGTCCTCCAGTACATTAGTTTGGGATGGATGACTAGTATCTTACTCTCCTATTGTTGTCAGAAAAAAAAACTCACACTAAAATGTAGCAGCTTAAAACAAACATTTGTTTTCTCCTAATTTTTGTGGATCAGAAATTTGGGTATAGCTCAGAAGAGGGCCTCAGGTTGAAGGTCTCAACTTAAAAGGTTATATTCAAGCTATTTGGCTCTGGTATCCTCTGAAGATCATATTTAGGGAAGATACATTCCACAAAATTCTCTCACTTGGTATTTCCACGGGGCTATCAAATGAAATGACAGTTGGCTTCCTGTACAGTAAGCCATCTGAAAAACTAAGAGCACACCCCAAACAGAAGCCACAGAACCTTATCTTGGAAGTGACATCTTATTACCTCTGCCTCATTTGGTTCACTAAATCCAGCCCAAATCTGGGGGGATGGGGCATAGTATAAGAGCATGAATACCAAGAGGTAAGCATCACTCAGGATCATACCAGAGACTGCTGTCCAGTTGTTTTTACTAGGGTTGAGTAGCTAGGATAACTCCATTCACGTGTCGGCAGTTGAAAATCTAGTTAGTCTAGGTTGCCTTAGCAGGCATGGCGTGTCTGCTTCATCAGAGTTCCATATGGTCTCTCATCTTCCAACAGCACATTCTAGACCTTTTGTACATAGGGGCTCTGGACTCCTAAGAGAACTACATAGCATTTTTTTTTCTAAAATAGTGTATCTTCTGGTCACACATTATTCATAGTACAATCCCATGAAAAATATATCCACTGTCTGTCCTGGCCCTTCAAATATCTCAGCCACATGATGACATCAAGCTCATATCTAGGATTTCAAGTCTTCTATGTCAAGCCCAGATTTGGCTAGGGATCCTGAATAGTTTCTCAACTTTTTACATTCAGATACCTGTGAGATAAATGACATTTTTTATCTTCCTCCCAAAACACAAATACTATGTATATAGGGTGGCATGGGAATAGGGTGACTATAATAGATACTCCAAGTCTAAAAGAGGAGAAACAAGAAGCCCACATCACACAGTTTCATACCAAAACAATTCTGAAATCCAACAAACATAGTCCAGTTCCCTTTATTCTAGGAGCAGATACTGCTTCTTGATTAGGGCACAATTTTCCCTGAGAATGGCTCTCCCGTTCACTTTAAAATATTATACTTGGGTCTTCCTTCTGAGACCTCTGGCATTTCCCATAATAACTGATCCATATTTACAACTAGATAAGTAAATTTCTCAGCTAATATCATACTTGTAGATGTTAGGTAGAGTTGTCCAAACCACTTTTCATTTTGAATTATTTCAGTCACTTTAAGACCGATCTTGAGGTAATTTCAAGAGCAAAACTTTCTTTAGTTTTCTATGGATCTTGTTTGAGCTAGTTCATGCCCCAAATGTCACATCAATGACTCTTTATGATAAGCCTCTCTATATTTAGAGCAGTTTGTCAAAGTACTGTGAAATATTACATAGAAGTACTCACTAGTTCAGCACCAATGCAGTATTATACATATTGTAATAAAGACTTGTACAGACACACCCACGGCTGACCTTTACCCCAGGACAGTTTATATACCTTGAGGATATTTTGATAACTAGGTGATTACCTATGTAAAACAGTTATTTCTCAACCCCTCAAGTCTTGCCTTTTTGGTATTACTTTTGATTCTGCTTGCCAGTTGGAATAGTTATTTGTTGAATTTATCTTTCCTTTTCTGTACTTTATCATATGCAGCTAAAAGCAGCAAAGTGATACTTCTATTGTATCACAAATCTCCTTAAGTAAGATCCACAAGTTCATTTGACATATTCTTTATCCTCCCACAGAGAACTGTGGTTATCTTTCTACTTTTCCCTTACTAAGTAATGCGGGCTACCTTTTACTAAGCTCTCCTCATTATTTTTCTATTCTCTACCTGATACCCAAGGCCATTATTAATATCCTTTTACATATTACTTAGCATTTGCTATGCAACGAACCAGCCCAAAATGCAGCTATTTAAAATAGTGATTATTTCACAATGCCAGTTTGGCTAAAATAACTGATATGGCTATTCTGGGCTGGAGTGCCTTAGATGGGACTAGAAATCTAGTAAGCTTCACTCCTATGTCTAACAACTGGCAAGATATTTGGCCTATCAGATCCCAGTTGAGCTGGGTTGGACTGCTCTATGTGGTTTCGTAAATCTCCCAGTAGGGTGATCTGAGATTTTTCATGTAGAGGTCTCAGAATTCCAAAGAGCATGTAGAAAGGGTAAACCCTGAGGCAGGCTTTCACTTCTAAATTCTCTTTCTTAAAGTCCTCTAGCCAAAGCCAGTCATAGTCAAAATCAAAGTCAAGGAGCAAAGAGAAGTTACTTCTTTACAAAAATACAACAAAGTAACACTACAAAAGGGCATTCATAAAAAGATGAGAGGCACCAGGGCAGTGGTGGTGCACATCTTTAATCCCAGCACTCAGGTGGCAGAGGCAGGTGGATCTCCATGAGTTCAAGGCCAGCCTGGTCTACAAAGCGAGTTCCAGCACAGCTAGGACTGTTATATAGAGAAACCCTGTCTTGAAAAACAAACAAAAAGATGAGAGGAATCTGTGGCTACTGTCTTTCTACCAAAATGAAAGAAAAATAAGAATACTATTTCATGGTCTCCAGAATGAATGGTGGGATAATTTTATGTGTCCATAGAAAATTATATCTGCAGATGTGTATACACACAAAATCAAAATGACTTTTGACTTGTGGATACACTTGAAAGGAATATTCAGTGGTAAATATATTTGATAGACACAATCATTCTAATTTTAAAAAGGAACTTCAATTATCCTTCATTATTACACAGTGTATTTCACCACAAACACTCTACACAACTCAGAGTTTTACACAAATACATTATTTTGTTGCTTTATAACTCATTTTGGCCTTACTTTTAATTGATTACTATAACATTACTAAAATTTGCATAATTTTGAAATCTTTAAAAATATTTTATAACAATTTATTTTTTAATACTTCCTATAAGAAGACATTTCTAACATTATTTTCCCAATATAAATTCCATTATGTTTTTTGTGAGGCCATGCAAATATAGAAATTTCCCCTTTTCCAATGTATTCTTAAAGGGTCTTTTCAAAATAACTTATCTCAGGTGATAAGCTGGATAATGCTTCGGGTGAGGCATTCACACAGTGTCTCTCTTTGATGAATCTTATAACATACACTTAGATTTTACTTCTGTCATGAGATTGTCTTGTTTTGATGAAGCAGGGTTACTTTTATGTATGAATACTACGATGCATACTAAGAACTGATTTCTGAGTGAAGCCCTTTCCACAGTCACTGCATTTATAAGGTTTATCCCCAGTGTGAACTGTCTGGTGTTTATTGAAATTAGACCTGTCAGTGAAGGCCTTCCCACACTCTGAACATATATATGGTTTCTCTCCTGTGTGGATTCGCTGGTGTACTTTGAGATGTGGTTTCTTAAAGAAGGATTTCTCACAGTCAGGACATTTATAAGGCTTTTCCATAGTGTGGATTCTTTGGTGTGTAATCAACTCTGACTTCTGGATGAAGGCCCTCCCACAACTGGCACAAACATGGGGTTTTTCCCCAGTATGAATGGTCTGGTGCTTATTGAAATTTGACCTGTCAGTGAAGGCCTTTCCACATTCAGAACATATGTAAGACTTCTCTCCAGTATGAGACTTCTGGTGAGTATTGAGATTTGGCCTGTTGGTGAAAGCCTTCCCACATTCAGTGCATATGTAAGGTTTTTCTCCTGTATGAATTCGCTTATGCATTTTAAGTTGAGACTTAGAAGGGAAGGATTTTATACAGTCACTGCACTCATAAGGCTTTTCTCCAGTATGAATTCTTTGATGTGCAATCAAGTGTGCCTTCTGGATGAAGGCCTGCCCACATTCAGTACATATATAGGACCTCTCGCCTGTGTGAATTCTCTGATGCATTCAGAGTGTTGACTTTTGGGTAAAGGCCTTCCCACACTCATTACATTTGTGATGTCTCTTCTCAGTATGAATTTTCTGGTGTATAGTAAGGGTTGAGCTCAAGGGGAAGTCTTTACCACATTCACTGCATTTATAGAGTTTTTCTTCAGTATGGGTTATCTGATGCCTAAGTAGAGATGACAGATGGAAAAATGATTTTCCACATTCATTGCATTTGTAGAGTTTTTCTCTAATGTGAGTTTTCTCATGCAATATTAATTCAGAATTCTGGATGAATGCCTTCCCACATTTAGTATATATGTATGGTTTTTCATCTCTATGAACTCTCAAATATATACTAAGTAGTGGCCTCTGTGTAAAAACATTCACACATTTGCTAAGTTCATGAGGTTTGTCCACATTGTGAATTCTGGAAGGAATGAAGAGGTGTGATTTTGGGGTGAATATCCTTCCAAATGCAGCACCTGTTTTTGCCTTTTCCCCAACAGGATATTTTATACTTTGACTAAGTGTATGCTGGATTCTGAGGACTTTTCCATACTTATTACTTTCCCAGAATTCTGTTCCCATATGTGGATTTTTGAGGTTAGTATAAGAACTACTGTGGGCAAAAAATAGCCTATGGCCCATTATTTTGTCAAAATTCTTTGTTGCTTTGTTTTTATTATGTTTAAAATGCTTTCCAAATGAGTCTTTCTTATGGGGTCTTTTCTGTAAAGGAACAGCATTTGGTCTTGGGTGTGTATATTTTCCAATGTCTGTACATTCATAATCCCTCTTGGTATTCAATATTTTCTTATTAAAAGCAGCATGACTCAAAGGGTTGTTCTGTTTTCTCTGGTATCTTATCATCTGTTTAGAATCTTGCCACAGTTCTTCTAAAATGGAATACAACAAATCATCTCTTGAATCATCATCCACTGTTCCACCATAAAATGTAGCTTTTTCAGAAATTCTTATCCATGAATTCTTAATCCTAAACTTTGCATCTAAAGAGAAAAAAATTGACATAAGGAATAAATTATGAAATATTAAAATGTACATATAATCTAAATTAAACTCATGAAAATCAGGAACTCTAAACTCATGAAAATCAGTAACTCTGATAACAATGATGATAGAAAATACGGGGGCTGGAGGGATGGCTCAGAGGTTAAGAACACCGGCTGTTCTTCCAGAGGTCCTGAGTTCAATTCCCAGCAACCACATGGTGGCTCACAACCATCTGTAATGAGATCTGGCTCCCTCTTCTGGCCTGCAGGGATGCATGCAGACAGAACACTGTATACATAATAAATAAATAAATCTTTAAAAAAAAAAAAAGAAAATACATATAGAGCACTTATTATGTGCCAACTTCTAGCAATACTTACACTACTCCAGTTAATAGTCTAAGAAATATATACACACAAACTCATTCAATTCTTTCCAAGCTCTATTAGGTATCTACTATCTTTTATAGATAAGGAAACTGAAGCCCATAATAATCATATGGCTCGTCATACATGGTTATCAAGTATTGGGAGTTTGGAGTTCAGCATAAGCAGACAAGCTCTATTTTGACAGAAAACTTGATTATCAAATATGTTATACAGATGATGGATAAGACAAAGATTTTAAGAAGGAAATCTGTGGAGAGGCTAGGCACAGAAAAGGTAAAGCAAACTGTAAATCTTCATTAGCTTTCAAGTCTAAATCCTCACTAGTCTCATTCCTTTATCCTGCCTAACTTTTTATCCCTTGCTGGCATGAACTCATTAGATAGAAAAGGCTGGCCTCAAACTTGAATGGAACCTGCTGGGATTTAATTTAAGTGTGTGCCTCTCATCTTGCTTATTAGCAACAATATCAAATTAATGTCATAAAAATAACTTATCCATTATGTCTATAGGAGTAAATATTGTAGTCCAGTCCATTCTTACAAACAATAAATGGATGTCTATATTTCATTTCTCTATCCTGATGCAAATGTTTCTTTCATTACATGTACCACACATACACACACAGGCACATACACACACACACACACACACACACACACACACACACACACACACACACTAAAGATAAGTCGTTACATATATACATATATCTATCAAAAAAGATAAGCCATCTGTAGTACAGACTGGTAAGGATGTCTAGTCTTATAACCTTTCTGAGCCTCCTTTGAAGAATGGCATTCCCATGTAACAATGTTCTCATCAGCTGAATAGGAAACAAAATTATGGGTGCCACTTTCAAACTAGAGCATTGGAACAGAAGACATTTTCTCCAGGCCCACTTCTGCCTTTCTGTTTACTAAAATCTGGACTTGGCAGCAACACAGGTTCAAATCTGCAGGTGTCAGAAAAAATCAAAGAGGTTGAATAATAAAGTGGAAAAGGTCTAAGGATTCCTGAATAAAAATGAGTAAGAAAGTTTTCTGTAATAGAGGAATGAAATAAATTCATATATAAATCAATGTACTTTTTTGTTTGTTAGTTGTTTTGTTTTGTTTACTATTTGGGGATTTGTTTTATTTTGAGACAGGGTCTCCTTATGTATGTAGCCTTGGCCATCGTGGAATTCACTATGTAGACTACCTTGGTCTCAAACATGTGATCCACCTACCTCTGTCTCTTACGTGGTAGGAATATAGGCATGCACCATCATACCTGGCTTATGATTTTGTTTGTTTATTTTTAAGACATTGTCTCATGTAGCCTATCTTGGCCTCAAAATAATAGTACATAGCTGAGGTTAGCTTTTAACTCTAATTCACATGCTTCTACATGTTAGGTGCTGGGATTATAAGTACCACATGTATATCACTATATCCAGTCAATCACTGTATCTTAAAATATCTTTATTACTACAAATTAGCTTTAACATATTCAAGTACTATTCTCTTCCAGAAAACATATCACATGTTTCCACTACTGTAGAGTACATAAAATGTGTTAGATTCTTTTTATATATTCTTTTTTTTTTTTTTTTTTTTTTTTTTTTGGTTTTTTCGAGACAGGGTTTCTCTGTGTAGCTTTGCGCCTTTCCTGGAACTCGCTTTGGAGACCAGGCTGGCCTCGAACTCACAGAGATCCGCCTGGCTCTGCCTCCCGAGTGCTGGGATTAAAGGCGTGCGCCACCACCGCCCGGCTAATTCTTTTTATATATTCTTAATAATTTAAAATGAAACATTGGTCTATTCAGTAAGAAATTTTAGACAGTGAGAATGCTCTGAGACATCCCTCTTTTACATACACATTCCATCAAAAACGCTATACCCTATTCTTCGGTATGTTATGTTATGTTATGTTATGTTATGTTATGTTATGTTATGTTATGTTACGTTATGTTAGATTATATTGCTAGTGTTTCACCTGCATATATGTCTGTGCACCACATGCAGGCCTGGTGCCTGTAGAGGAAAAAGAGGGCATTGAATCCCCAGGAACTGGAGTTATAGATGTTATAAGATGCCATATGAGTGCTGGAAATTGAACCCAGGACCTCTGGAAGAGTATCCAGTGCTCTTAACTGCTGATCTATGTCTCTAGCCCCTGCCCTCATTCTTCTATTTTTAATTTTCATTTTTCCCTATGCATTTGTCTTTAATTTATTCTGGAGACATGAGTTCTGAATTCACAGACATGGTTTAGAAGTGGCCTACTTTTCTGTTTATTTAACCCTTTGATACCAGGCAATATTTAAACAACTGGTACCAATGTTCCTTGGGAAAAGTTTGTCCTCACAGTGAAAACCCCTATATTTCACTCAAACCCGTGAATTTTATGAATGGTACATACACAAAATTTACCAGTCAAGAAAAATAAGCTATTCACATAAGCTGTATTCTACTCATCACTCATAAAATGCCTACAAAATCCAGTTTATTATCAAATTAAAGAATGTGTTCATGTCCTGTTTCTCCATGGAGCCTACTTAGCATCTTCTATCATGCGACTGTCCTTACTTTTCAATAACAAAGTTCTCTTGACTTACTTTCAGTAGAATTTTCTGAAACAGAGCATATCAATTATTATCCCTCACAAATTCAGTTAATATTGATAAATATTTTCTGTATGAATTACAGTTTTATGATGAGAATAAAATATAAACTCTTGTTTTCAGAGACTTTCAAATCTATAATGGATGAAAGCACTTGAAGGATGAGGAGAATAGAAAGGAGAAAGAGTAAAATACTTGCAGTAGGTGACAGCCATCCAGTAAACAGATGGGCATTTGAACATAAAATGAAAATAAACAGATACATTATGATGAAAAGCCCAGGTGCATAGAGATAATTTATGTATGGTAAGCATTGGAGACAAGGAGAAGTATTTAAGGAAAACATAAATTAAGGAAACTGTACAGATAACAATTTAAACTGGAAATAGTTGCCATGAAATGTAATGAGATTTTTAACAAATATAGCCAATTCCTATTATAGATTATAGAACATTAATCCATCAACAGCAGCAAAGCTACATTTTTTTTTTCCGAGACAAGGTTTCTCTATGTAGCTTTGTGCTTTTCCTGGAACTCACTCTGTAGCCCAGGCTGGCCTTGAACTCAAAGAGATCTGCCTGCCTCTGCCTCCCGAGTGCTGGGATTAAAGGCATGCGCCACCACCACCACCTGGCAGCAAAGCTACATTTTTTAATTTTGTTTATCCATTTAGTGTGTATGTGTATGTGTGTGTGTGTGTACTCTATGGTGTTCATATGGAGGTAAGAGGATAATTTTCAAGCATTGGTTATCTCTTTCTACAATGTGGGTCCCAGGGGTCAAATTTAGGTATCTGTGGTGATACTTTATTTGTGCTGAAATGAGATATTTTATTTGTATGTTAATAAATAAAGTTTGCCTGGAGATCAGAAGTCAGCGAGCCATAAACAGAAATCAGGTGGTGGTAGCCCACACCCTTAATCTGATCACATGGCAGGCAGAGTCTCTGTGTCGTCAAGGACACAGCCAAGTGTGATGACACCAGCCTTTAATCCCAGTACCAACCATAGAGACCTGGAGGCCTGTATAGACAGGCAGTGACAAGGAAGTCATGTGGCTGGGCTTAAAGCCAATGAGAAGGCAGAACAGGAAGGCAATAAAAGCTCAGTTCAGACAGGAAGAAACTCTGTGGAAGCTACTACTAAGGCTATTACCTCTGTATTTGGCTCTGTGTTTCTTATTTAATAAGACTAGAAATTCGTCTACAAGTATCTGTCTAGTATCTCCTGGAGGCAGGAGCTGATACAGAGGCCATGAAGGGGTGCTGTTTACTGGCCTGTTCCCCATGGCTTGCTCAGCCAGCTCTCTTATAGAATCCAGAACTACCAGCCCAGGGATGGTACCACCCACAATGAGCTGGCCCCTCCCCCATCAATCCCTAATTTAAAAAATACCCTAATAGGCTTGCCTACAGCCAGATTTTATGAAGGTATTTCTTAATTGAGGATCCCTCCTCTCAGATGACTATAGCTTGTGTCAAGCTGACATAAACTAGCCAGCACAGTATCTAAGTGCCTTTACTCAGTGGGTCATCTCACAGGCCACAAATATACATTATATTCAGGGACACACAGAACATTTTCTTAAATATAGCATATGCTAAAATCACACACAGTATAATCTTAAACCACAATGGGATCAAATTTTACTAAACAGAGGAAAAAATTAATTTCTTTAAAAGAAAACTTACTGTGTCTGGTAAAAAGATGAACCAAAAGCTGGAACAGACCTTTCTATTAAAGAAATTAGAGTTATTATTAAATTTTCTCCATCAAGAAAACTTCAGATCCCAATACCTGGGACATTGAGCCTCAAGATGATTGACAGTTCAAGGCCAGCCTGAACTAAATAGCAAAGTCCAGGCCAGTCTACGCTACATAAAAAATAATATTTCCAAAAAAAAGGAAGAAAGAAAAAGAAGAAAACTTTAAACACAGATGGGTTTTCTAGTGAATCCCATAACCAATGAAAGTATAAATAATATTACATAGACTATTTCCAA